TAGATTTTTTTTCTGAACTCTTCCACAGATGTGTGGCTTGACGCAAACCTGTTTCTGAGCTCTACAAGCCTTTTTTTTTTTTTTTTACATCAGGGCTTGGTTTTTGCTCTGATATGCATAATCGGCTGTTAGATATTTTATTAAGATGCTTGTGCCTTTCCAAATCATACCCATTCAGTTGAATTTGCCACAGGTTAACTTCACTTGAAGTGTAGTTGCATCTACAAGCAATATGAATGCTCCTGAGCTAAATTTCAACTGTCCCAGAAATGGGTATGAATACTTATGCAATGGAATTATTTAAGTTTTTTATTTGTAATAAATTTGCAAAGATGTTAAAAACCTGTTTTTTTTTATGGTGTATGGATTGTAGATTGAAATCAGCATATTAGAATGATTTCTGAATGATCATGTGACAATGAAGACTGGAGTAATGATGCTGAAAATTCACAAGGATAAATTACATTTTAAAATATATTCAAAGAGAAAAGTTATTTTAAATTGTAATAATATTTCACAATCATTCTGTTTTTAGTCTTGTTGACACCTTTACATTATTACAACATATTTCATAACATAAAGTTACTACTTATCTAGATTACTAACATAAGTTACTACTTATCTACTAAATATGACTTGTGTAATATTGCTGCAGGTGGGAGCAGAACCCGTGGACGTTGTGTTCGGTGTCGTGTGGAGGAGGCTCTCAGGAGAGAAGCGTGGTGTGTGTCGAGGAGGACGTCCACGGGCAGATCGTGCAGGTGGAGGACTGGAAGTGCGCACACTCCCCTCGACCAATCAGCAAACAGAGCTGCAACACCTTTGAGTGTCCGCAGTGGATGGCCATGGAATGGTCTCAGGTAAGTGACCTTTACTGAACTCTTCTTCCATTTCTGATGACCATTGACCATCTATAGCGCTGTTCTACAAACTAGTGAGCTGTTTCTGTGTCCTAACCTAAATAAAATCATGTGAGTGACTGATTTGAAACACTGTTCATAGACAGCAGCTCTGTTCATGATGAACTGAATGAGATTTAATGCTCAAAGCTGATTCCAGCATTTTGATGTTAGCATATTGTCATGTTTATGTTCTGTTATGGTGTAGATTTTCCTGTATTTCTGTTCTACCTTCTTTGACCTAGTTTCCCTTAGTCCCCTTGATTAGTTCATTAGTTTCCACCTGTGTTCATTAATCATCTTATTAGTCCATCGTTTGGTTTAGTATTTATAGCCCTGCCTTTCCTCAGTTTCTTTGTCCTGTCTCTGTCGTTGAAAGTGGTTGTTTTCTCCATTTCTCCCACGTGGATTTATTAAAGACTCTGTTAGTTTGACTATCTGCCTCCTTCGTACTCCTTCGAGCTCCTTTCCCCAGCAACCTGTGACGCATATATCATAAAGCTGATGACACAATATTTTAGTAAGCTAAAAAATAGTGACACCATAATGAGTAGTCTGTCTTTATGACTATATTTATTTGATGTTTATATAAATTTTTATATATATATATCGGAACAGAGGTATTATACCTGCTCCACTACTTGAATCCATTTTCTTTTCTTAATTAAAAGTGACATTAAAGATAGTTTTCACAAAAATATTAAGCAGCACAATTGTTTTCAACTGATAATAAACAGTAAAGCAGATTATTTTGGTATTATTGAGATGCAAATTTTTTATTTTTTTTTATTAATGTTTTAAATTGGTTTTTATTTTTATATTTTCTGTTTTCATTTGAATTTTAGTTAAAGTTCTTGTAATTTTGTTTTGTGTGTTTGTCATTTTTAATAAGAAATATTTCTTTAGCACCACATCAGTGTATTAGTATGAATATTCTGAATATTAGATGTTATCTAATAAAACATATAATAGACATTATATAATATTAGAATTATAATATATGATAATATACGATTTCTGAAGGATCATGTGACACTAAAAACTAGAGTAATGGCTGCTGAAAATTCAGCTTTATATCTCAGGAATAAATTACATTTGAAAATATATTTAAATAGCAAACAGTAATTTTAAATTGAATTAATATTTCACAATATGATATTTTTCCCCTGTATATTTGATCAAATATGTATTTGTTTGTGTTTTTTTATCTGTGTTATCCAGTGCACGGTCACCTGCGGCCCAGGTTTGCGGTACAGAGTGGTGCTGTGTGTGGATCACAGTGGTCAACATACTGGCGGCTGCAGTCCTCACCTCAAACCCCATATCAAAGAGGACTGCCTGGTCCCTGTCGCCTGCCACAAACCACGAGGTACAAACACAAAAAGGAGATCCACAATCGAGTGAGCAACTCTGCTGACTACAGTCTACATAGTCAGCTGCTTTGTGAGTCAGCATCCTCACTGAAATAGAACCTTATACAGTGGATTTGAACTGTTCTACATAAGCAGGAACTGCACATGTGAAATTAGTTAATTCCGACTAATTTTGATGTTAGCGTATTGCTAAGCTAACGACGTAATGCTCTAATACAGGCCCGGCCCCTCATTGTCAAAGACAATATTTGAAGGCCCCTAAACATATTTCTAATACTTCTGCTATAATGACAAAACTGCTTATTTTCAAACTTGTTTTATTTAAAGAAACTTGGAGTGGCCATTTAAATTAGTGTAAATAAATAGTTCAATTATATATAAATAGTATCAATTATTTATAATAATGATGTTTAATTAAAATGATTAAAAATAACAATTATAAATAATTCTAATAATTCCATAATTCCAGAAGTAAATGTTCTTCATGGTGTAAACTTTTTATTATCCATGAATTTACACAACTTTTCAAGTCATTTGTGAATTACAGTGTTTTGTTTTATTTTATTTTATTTTATTGCAATATAAATATAAACAGTAATTTATATCTGATAACAGCTTGACAAAGTTAGAAAATGTATATTCTTTAATAGAAATGTTATTTCATTCAATAATTTATTAATCAATCAATCAATCAATCAATCAATCAATCAATCAATCAATCAATCAATCAATCACATTTTATTAATTTTCAAGACTTTCATGACCATGTCTAGAATTCACACATTTATGAATCCCTTATATATCTAGGTTTTCAAAGACTCTAAAAACCCTTGGTTCTTAAATAAAATTGACCGTTGTTGAGGGAACAAATTTAAATATGAAATATGATATGAAATATTTCTCTAACATTTTTCATTGACCTTGTCGCAATGCCTTCTAGGATAGCCTTCTTGTTGAAATATACATTCAGTGCTGCCTTCTTTCTTCACAAGTTCCTTTGGTTTTTTGACAAATCAAACAATGCAATAATGTGATTCATCATAGCTGGTTAGTTTCGTTAAATGCTTTGAACTCTTTATGGAAGAATTTTCTGAAATGCCTTCAGAGAAAATAAATGGGAAATAAATCTGGAGCCAAGGCCACTGATAAAGTGAGCAGTCACTGCTGAGCTCCATTCATCTACTAATAAAAACTAACATTAAAACATTGATATGATTAAAATGCTGTTAGAACTTATTTGTTTCAGGGAAGCATTTAAACTCTGTTCCAAAACCTAGTAATAAAATTACGCTGCCCTTTAAGGAACCCCATTTTGCAGCATTGCGTGCATCTATCACAGAGAATATAATGACAATGTGCAGTGCAAAAAAAATCCATCCGAGATAGTGAACTGCAGGAAAGAAACGTTTATCATTTAAATAATTTGTATTTGAGTGAGGTACAGAAATGCTGACTGCGTCGAGTCTGTGTAGAGTCTTCATCTCAGTGTAGGATGTTGCCTATGTAGGCAGCAGGGAAGCTCACTAGACTTTGGAACTCAGCCAAAGCGGACTCCGTTAGGGAACAGTCAGAGCTTACAGCTGTCAGACAGGAGAGAAGAGTGTGTGCCACAGGCACGCTCATGAAATAACGTGTGATGTGAATATGAAATGCTCCATAAGTGCAGACAGTCACAGTGAGCTCATGGAGAGTCGGTCACGGTGTGTTTTAGAGCTCTTTCTTGCTGTGGCGTTAATTAATACCTGTGACTTCTCCCTGTCTGTCACTTTATTTTCCTGTCAGGTCCCTGTTATTTCTGACATGTGTTTTTCCTGTAGGAGAAAACATGAGAATGAAATCTCTTTTGAAATCTGCATTAAAATTGCATATTATTTTTTATTTTAATACTGTCCTGAATAAGCTATTTCACATAACAGATGTTTACATATACTCCACAAGACAAAATAATAACTGAATTTATAAAAATGACCCCATTCAAAAGTTTACATACCCTTGAATCTTAATACTATGTGTCATTTCCTGGATGATCCATGACTGTTTTTATATTTTGTGATAGTTGTTCACGAGTCCCTTGTTGGTCCTGAGCAGTTCAACTGCCTGCTGTTCTTCAGAAAAATCCTCCAGCTCCTGCACATTCTTTGGTTTTCCATCATCTTCTGCATATTTGAACCCTTTCCAAAGGTGACTGTATGATTTTGAAATCCATCTTTTAACACTGAGGACAATAGAGGGACTCATGCATAACAATTACCAAAGGTGAAAACATTTACTGATGCTCAAGAAGGCCACACAATGCATTAAGAGACGGGGGGTCTCTTAATTGGATGATCATGGTAAATTGTACTTATTTTGTCTTCTGGGAAACATTTAAAGAAACATATTTCAATTTTTCCTTTCTCTTTGGAGTGTTACAAGCTCTTGGTGCATAAAGAAGATCTGTAAAGTTGCAAAGACTAAAGTCTCAAATCCAAAGAGATATTCTTTATAAAAGTTAAGAGTCAGCCACACCTACCTAAAATGGCTCATTCTAACACGCCCCCACATATCTACGTCACTATGTGGAAATATTAGCATAATGCCGCCCAAATGTGCACGCAAAGAAAGAAGGCGTGGTTTCAGGAACCGCAGTAGTGTTGATGCAGCCATGTCAGGGAGACGCTGTGTTTCAGTGCAAAAGCAAAAGCACTTTATTTGGCCTTCCGGAAGTAGATGCAATTAGGAATCATTGGTTAAGATTTATTTACAACAGAACAGCACAAC